TACACAACCCTAATTAATTTCCAAATAACCCATCAACTTATCAAACAAACATCATCAAGCAACCCATCAACATATCTCAATCCATAACTCGAATAAATTCAAAACACAAATCCAATTCAAAACCCAAATCCAATTCAAAATCCTAATCTCAATTCATAACTCAATTAAAAAAATGAAATAAAATGAAGACTAATAGAAGAGAATGTACCTAATCGATGCGGCGGCGGTACAGCGGCGGCGGCGGCGAGGCGGCGCAGCAGCGACGGGCTGAGAATTTTTTTTTTCCTCTCTTGCTCAAGTTCTCAATCTCAATCTCGCTCTCTCTGAACTCTCTGTTCACGTAAGAAGAAAGAAGGAAGTTTTTTTTTATATTTAATCGAAGAACGTATTTTCACAATACGTTTTATGCTTAATTAAATGTAAACCGTATTAGTAGAATACGTTTTACATTTAATTAAATGTAAAACGTATTTTCAGAATACGGTTTAATTATATACTATATGTTATATTTTATATATTATATGTTATATGTTATATGTTATATACTATATGTTATATGTTATATGTTATATACTATATACTATATACTATATGTTATATGTTATTTGTTATATGTTATATACTATATGTTATATGTTATATGTTATTGATATATGTTATATGTTATATGCTATATGTTATATGTTATATGTTATATGTTATATACTATATGTTATATGTTATATGTTATATGTTATATACTATATGTTATATGTTATATGTTATATACTATATGTTATATGTTATATGTCATATGTTATATGTTATAGACTATATGTTATATGTTATATGTTATATGTTATACATGTTATATACTATATACTATATGTTATATGTTATATACTATATGTTATATGTTATATGCTATATACTATATATTATAAACTATATACTATAAATATCGATATTCAAGGATAAGAATATATTTTGCGAAGAAGTTAACGTGATCGCCTAGCGGTAGGATGGTATTGAAGTCAGCCTTGAGGGTTTGAAACGCCCACACCCCGGTTCGATTCCTCTCAAGTGCGAACCTTCAACCATTTTTTTTTAAAGTAAAACGTATTCTCATAATACGTTTTACATGTAATTATTTGTAAAACGTATTTCATAAGTACCTTTTTATTTATTTTTTAAAATAACGTATTATTAAAATACGTTTTAAACTGTAAGTTTAAAAAAAAAAATAATTTTTTTCATTCTTTAACTAAAAAATACCTGTTTTAAATATTCAAAACAACCAATTAAATCAAAATTACACTAACAAATCAAGTAATCTACCGTAAATACCATCCAACCAATCCCAAATAAATCATCCAAACAAATTCAAATAAAATAAACCATCCAAATAAAATCATCCACAACATGAAGTCTCATCCACAAAATCATCTAATTCCCCCACTCATCACGAAGTATAGACCTATCGGTGCGAAGATGTGAGGACTGACACTCATCCACAACATGATTTGGATCACCGCATCTAGTGCACTGTCCCCTATCCCTCCTACGGCGTGTCCGATGTTCCATTTGCATGCGATATCGTCTCGTTTGCACGCGACCATGTCCAGGATTCAAAATCATCCTCTCCCAGGGTGGTATCAATTTCCACTCGACCGACGCCCATGTATCCGGATTACCAATCGGAGCAAAACTTCAATTACTATATTGAGCAATCCATTTCTCCGTCCAAAAATACTCACTGTACAACAGTTTTGGCTCAGTCCCAACTAAACGACAGATGGATAACGCATGAGAGCATGGTTTCTTATGCGTCTGCCACTTCCGACAATTACAACGTTTTTAGTTGTAATCAACCTTATACCTGTAATAATTCCCTAGTGATTTATATATATACAATATGAAAAATTTGAATGGAAACATATACTTACTTGTTTTGCCCTCTTCCACTAGCCCGTAAACCGGTTTCCACTTCGTACATGGAGCTGTCGGCGTCCCTAACTCCCACACTATGAGTTGCGGCTGTCTGCTCCAATTGCGAAAATGCGTTAAAGTGCTCCCTAACAATGGGACTCCTGCATCTCGTGGACTTGTTTTGTTCTTGTTGAAACAAATCCAGAGTTTTCTAAAATGTGGCGTCTACCAAAGCTCTGCACGGCAGGAACCTAACCCCTTTCAGGATGTTGTTGAAACTCTCTGACATATTCGTTGTCAATGTGCCCCATCTACGTCCTTTATTTTTAAGTAGGGTCCACTTGTTCAAAGGAATTTGAAAAAGGTAATTGTGTGCTTCGGAATTCAATTCCAACAGTTGCTATTCTGTCTCTCGAAAATTTCGCTCCGACAACTGCGAACCAAATTCCCAACACCAAGTCCGGATTTTCTTACTACTGAACCTAGTCACCACATTGCTTCGATGGTGTCGAAGGCAAATCCAGTGATACGTAGCGGGTTCTTGCCAATCTGCTAATGATTTAATGGCACTGAGTAGGCCCGCATCCCTGTCATAAAGAACGCAGATCCGTCTTTGGAAGACTACATATTGCCGCATCCTAAGGAAAAATGGCCAACTGTCCGTGCTATGGCCACAAGCAATTTTTCCTTGTACGATACACGCAAATGTGTGCCATCGACGCTAATAACCGGCTGGCACATTTGGAAAGCTTGAATGGCGGGACCAAACGTCCAGAATACAAATTTTGAATTGTCTGTCTCGAAGGTGTCGCGCCATTTCCCCACCCTGCCATTCCCACTCTACAACTGTGGAAGGATTCGTTCTTTGAAGCACGGCAAAATACCTACACATTACAAAACGGTTTCATAATAAATAGATAAACATAGTGACAGACAAACAACACATATATTTGTAATTAATTTTTGCTTATTAAGGGAGTTCTGTGAAGTTGGATTCCCAAGTGCATGCCATACACACTCTCGATGGCTTTTCTCCTTCCGTGCCATGCCTTCGTGTAGCTGACATCCACTTTCCAGCACTGTTTCACATCAGCCTGGATCATGCCGACACCGTACTCTACTTTCTTTCGAATCTTATTACGAATGAGAATTTGAAATCATTTGGGCGGTTACATTTCTGTAGTCATTTCTTTCGACCGGTTGCATACAAGTGTGTCTATCAGTCGATTCAGTTAGTTCCCACAATTCATGAACCTGTCTGGACTTAGTCACCTGAGCCTTCCACACATAAGCGGATCTTCACTAGATCTGCAGACCACTTTGTATGACTTTTGATTTGAATCATTTGTCCGAATCTCCCGCAGCCTATCGACGTTCCAAGCCATTAGAGCCATTTGGGCTTCTTGCTTGCTCCTAAAAACTATATCCAAATGTATAGTCTCTATGTCGCCATTCCAGCGTGAAATAGCATACTCATCCTCATCTATCCTAGGCGGCTCCCATTCACCCATCTCGCGGTATACGTGACGACCACCACTAGGAAAGGGGTGTTCTTCTTCAATGAACTCGGCTTCACTCTTATCATTTACCGATCTATCTGATTCGGTTTCTGAGGTCTCGTCTGTGAAATCATCTTCACCGAGAATGAAATCTTCGTCACTTTCTTCCCCATCCTCATTTGCCCATTTTCTCATTGGTGAGCTTGTCCCTTCTCTAAAATTACGTAGATGAGAAGTCGATGTGCCCTCAACATCATTCACTCCCCCGTAATAAGGAGTAAAATCCTCAAACTGTGTAACCAGTGTAATTGCCTCCAACGATAAATGCAAATACACAATGGACATAGAAGAAAAGAAATAAATCCACTGAAGAGCACTATCATTATCGAGTTTTCCGGCATTCCACGAACCATCGGGTTGACGAAACATTAAAGTAATCTCTTGAATTGTCCACCCTTCTTCAAACCGACAATTTTCATTAATCATCTGTACCAATTCTTCATATGATATCCTAATAACAAATGAACCATCCGGACGATCTATAAATGAAACAAACTGTTCCTTCGCACATCACCAATACAAATTAACAAAATATGGACCGCAATACGCCACTTATACCTGTTGCAAAAAAAAACATTCAACTCTTCTCAATTACAACAACACATAATGTCTAATCCAACACCCAAAAAATTCAATTAATCTTTAAATCCATTTTTTACTCCAACGAAAAAACCAAAAAAAGTATTCCCAATCGATTAATACTCCAATACCCTAATATCCATAATCCAACAATAACATATAATTCATCTATATTTCGAATAAATTGATAGCCCTAATTATAACTCTAATTTCAAAAAAACCCTAAGCCCAACAACAACCAACCAATACACAATTAATAATTTACAACAAAATTTCAATCTCCAATTCAAGATACACACATAATCGATAAACAATTAATAATTCTCAATCTTCAAACACCACCTCATACAAACATACTATAACAATTCCCAATTTCCAAACAACTATAAACAATATCAAAAGTTGAGATAAGCCAATATACCTCGTGTGAATTAATTAACCAGAAATGAGGTTCGTGTTGTTGTTGTCGGTTCGCGTCGGGGTAGCGATTGGATCGAGTTTTTTTTTCTTCCTCTGCTCTCGGTCTCTGGTATATCNATATAGATTTTCTTTTTTTTTTTTTTTATATTTAAATTAACAACGTATTTCGAAAATACGTTTTTTAAAACCCTAAAAATCAATTTTAGGGTTTTGGAAAACGTATTTTTGAAATACGATTTATAAGTATCATTTTTTATTCAATTTTCTTGTTTTTAAAAACGGAAATATTTTTTTATTTTTCAAATATAAATTATAAAACGTATTACGGAAATAAGTTTTCCTAATAAAATTTTATTAGAAAAACGTATTTCAATAATACGGCCTTTTTATTTTTTTCCACCCTTTTTTTTGTCCACTTCATTTTTTTGTTTTTTAAATAAATAAACTACCCTTACTTATTGATTTCATATTTTTAATTTATAAATATTATTTAATGAGTATTTCAAATTTATAAATATTAATGAATATTTATAGCTCGTACATCGCACGGAATTCGTACTAGTCAAACATAACATCAATTGTAGTTATTAAGAGTTTCGATAAATCAAATGCACAGACAAAGAAGAACCCTACAGTAAAATTGAAATGTTTCTTTTCGTTGAGCAATATATCTATTTTTGGCTAATAACCACCACAAACATATTATAAGTGGGCTGCAGGAATTTGTTCTGCAATATACATATGGACTGAAATTTAGGGAGGAAGGAACAATGTAAAGGATCTGACAAAGATATGGTCTTGTTTGGTCTGCTAGAAAACATTTTACTCTAAGTGTGTCCATTGATTTTCCTTGTATATACTTATTTATGCCTCTTTATTCATCAGCTGAATTGGACTTGAGCACCTGCATCATATCTCTCCATTAGTACCAGTTAGATATGATTAAGACAAACAATTTTTTTTTTCTTTTTGCATTTAAAAATTTGAGTTAATAATAATTTGTAAACTTTATTAATTATAGTTAACCCCAAGCTAGTTATAGCTTATCAATACAAATGTATAAGCATCTAAGACATGGGGAGACAAGATAGGACACAGTAGGGCTGCCACTTCTACAACATATATTTCAAATAGGTGCATATAAGTGGGCTTAATTTTATTTTTAGCACACTATATTGATATTTTTTCGAGAAAGGTCAACCAGAAGGTGTCATCAAGAAGGGTCAATTGAGATTCCACTCTAATCAAAACTCGTATATTAGGCAACATAGTGTACTAAAAATAGCAACTATAAATGATCACTTTTAGTACACTATGTTGGTTATCGTACACATTTTGATTAAAGTGACAACTTAGTGTACCATTTTTTATGACGCCTTATATGATGAACATTTTTTTGGAAAATGGCCAACATATATAATGGACCATTTTTGAAATTTTGCCTATATGTGTTCAATTTTTTTTTTCCTTGTTTTCTTCTTTATGTACATTATATAGTGCTACTTATCATTAAGTTCAGATTCTCCATCTAAGTCAATTCAACTTATATCAGTCATTCTAAAGAAAGCTGTCTCCATAATTTATTTTGTAAAAAAAATTGATTACTTAAGGGGTTTATCATAGTTGAGACAAGAAATGAGTGCTAACCAGATGCTTGTAGGGCAGATGCTGGGAACTCATATTAATGGGAAGAAAACAGGCTGTTGTTCAGTTCCTGACTGCTTTATGTTTTTTTGTCTAAGCTCCTCCACTTCCCACAAGGCCTGTCTGCTTCCCTGAAAATGATTTTTTTTTTTTTAATAATTTTGGTCCTCTGTTAGGCGAATAAACAATGCATAAAACATAATTTATATTTATTTTTTTCTCAAGAAAATAAATAAAAAAAATAATAATAATTCATATGCACCTGAGGAAGAATATTTTGAGTTTGGGCTTGTTGGAACATAAAAGAATTAACAGTATTGTCGAGGAGAGGATAGGTAGCTGTTGTGGTGCCACGTGGTGAGCCCATGTTGTTCAACTCCTGCATGCAAATGTATCATACATAAATTTTGGGTCAAAGGTCATTAAAGGAATAACTTAAAATAATTTTTTTTTTCTAAAAAAAAAGTTATACATTTAATGCTTAATTATTACTCCCTCTTTTTTTAATAGACGTTGTTTTGAAAAGTTGCACACTAATTAAGAATATTTTTTTTGCCAATAATAACCCTCATTAATGAGGATAAAAATGGATGTTTTGAAAAAATATAAAGAGTGAATATGAAAAGACATAGTGTATTTATTAGCTAGATAAGGGTAATAATGGAAAAATATGTACAAAAAATTCAAAACGTCATTTATTTAGACAATTGTTGATAAAGCCAAAATGACATTTATAAAAAAAAAAGGAGGTAGTATATTATTACAAATTTTTAATTATTAAAAAGAAAAAAATAAAAAACAGTAGTGTTAGATAGTCTCAGAATAATAAAGATGGGTTTTACATTTTAAGCATAAATAAAAGAATATTTTTTTGTTTTTTTTTAGCTATGAAGTTTGACTGAATGAAACCATCCAATTTCTTTTTACGACCCAAACCAAATGGATATAAAATAATAAAAATAAAAACACTTAAAACATACCTGATCAGGCCTCACCATGAATGAGTCCAAGTCCATACCAAAGTCATAATACATGGGATTCACAGATGCAAGTTTCATTGACAGAAACTGCATAAATGATGTAAAACTTGATTGCCAAAGTACTTTAAGTGTAATTATATTTAGATAATGCATGCAATACATCAAAGAATTAAAAATAATTAAAACAGTAACAAAAATTAAAATTAATCATCACCTCCACTTGATTTTGAAGGGATTGGACATAGTTGATTATTTCATCCAACATAAGGGCCTTTCCAGTTACCTGTTTGTCACGTCAAACCACATGAATCTGTGAGCCCAAATGATTATTAGGGCTAAATTTCAATTTTAGTATAATATGTTGGTCATTTTCAAAAAATGGACCATTGTATAGAGTGTCATCAAGAATGGTCAACTAAGTTATTATTTTTTGTCAAAACTCGCATAATACCCAACATAGTGTACTAAAAATAGCAATCACTTTTAGTAAAAATGGCAATCACTTTTAGTACACTATGTTGGTTTTTGTATGAATTTTGATTCAAGTAGCTACTTAAAGGATCATTTTTTATGATGGATATTTTTAGAAAAATGGCTAACATAGTGGACCATTTTTTAATTTTTTTAAAAATGACTAACATAGTGGACCATTTTTTAAATTTTGCCTTCGTCATTAGAAACACAAACGATAAAAAAACCACTTGTAAGTAAACAAGCATTATCAATTTTCCAAACAAAAACAAGACAAATTATTGTTAAAAAAAATGAGACTGACCTTGTCACAACCAGGTACAATAGCCTGTAGCAGCTTCATTCTTTCGCTTATTTTCTCCCTTCTCACCTGATACCACTTAATTGACTCTTAAAAAACAGTTATGACAATTATAAAATAAAAAATCATATTGAAAATTCAAGGAAAAAAAAGAAGAAGAAGAAGAAGAAGATTACCCTTTCAGCAAGGCTATGGCTATCTGTGGCCTGGCCCCTCCTAGCCCTCACATGGATGTATCCTTTTGGAGCTTCCTTTTCTGCTCTTTTGTTTTCTTCTCNAATAATAACTAGAAACAAAATTACTTTTTTACAATTCATTTTCTTTTATATGCGTATGGAGACCTTGGATTGAGCAGAATTTGTAGAAGAGCCCTCCTTGGATTTCCTCTTCTTGTTGTCGTCCATATTGAGATTATTCACCTTTTGAGTGATTAGTTTATGGTGAGAGCCATAAAAATGGTGAGTGAGTATGGAGGAGTCGTCAACAGTAGCAGTACTGTTATTATGATTTTTGGGGCTTTTTTCCTGAAGTTGGTAAAAAAGGGGAATTGGGGACAAGGGATTGTTTGGCTCGTCAAAGTTATTAGTAATGGGGAAGGGCGTGTTTGTGTTTGGCAGTAGGAACACCGATGAGTCAAGGGAAAAAGGGTGGTGCTGCTCAAATGATGAAAAGGCTGCCATTTTTATTAAATTTTTTTTACCTTTTTTTTTCTTTTTCTTTGGGTTTGAGTGTGTTGCTTTGGAATTTGGTGAAAAGTGAGAGAGAAAATTGTCGGTCTGATTCTTATATGAGGAGGGCAGCCAAAAGCAAAAATTTTGTAGGAAAAATTGTCGGTCTGATTCTTATACATTGTGGAAGAGGTTTATATAAGCAGCGGGAGGGAGAGAACCCCGTTTTAAATATTGGACGTACAAGCATTTGTACCAATTTTAGCCACCTGTATAATCCATAATATTACCGTATTAAAAAAACTAATATTTATTGATGTGCATTTTGTTTCATATTTTTCAATATTTTGCCTATGTTTTCGGCACAACTCCAATACAAATATATATTATCATAATTTTGTATTTTGTGTTTTTTTTTTTAAACGAAACGATAAGGGAACTCTACTAAACAAAATAAATGGTACAATATCCAAATACAAAGTGGGAAACCCAAATAACCGAGGGCATAAACCAGGAGAACGACATAATTAAGCATGTAGCCTAGAAACCCAATAAACAACCACACAAAAACAAAGGCAGCTCAAGCACTCAAACCCTTCAGTTGACATACAAGCACCAAACTCACACTCTATCTATACACACTATATTTAAACTAAAAGACTGGGGGTGTGAGTAGACGTGGCCAAAGTCCGATTTTCGGCCAGTTTTGAGTCGGAACCGCTGGTTCGGCCTGAGGTTTGGAGGGCGGCGGTTCCAGACCGGTTCAATGGACCGCCAGTTCTGGGCCGATTTATAGTTGAACCGATTTCTGGGAATTTTTTGAGAAAAAAACAAAAAATAAAAAATAAAAAAAACAAATTGGAGGGGGGCAGTGTTTAAGAAATTGGACATGAGCTTAGTTGACATATTCTAAGTTAAAAATATCAGTTAAGTTAAAGATTATTTTAGGTTAAAAATTAATATTTTAACTTATAATTTGTCAGTTGCATATGTGTTCCTTATCTTGGGAATCAAAGTCCTCATAATTCTCTTACTTTACTTACCTTAATGAAAGTGTTGGGTTCTATTAGGAGCGTCAACAATGTGCACATTATCGAAATAAATCCTAATGCAGAGGAATCTACAGTTAGGATTAGGACATTAGCGTTTAAAAAATTTTGCCGACTCTGAGACGTTTCTGATTTACTCTGTAGGAGATCGTCTGAATCGCAGAGTCTGTTGGGTAGCCGAACTTGGCCTCCTTGGTTAACTTGGATCGTCGAGACACGAACGGCTCATCGGGATTCAAGGAACGTTAGGCTCGGCACTACAAGAATAATTATTTTTAGTGGCGAAAATTTTTGTTGCTATATGTTCAAATGTCGTCACAAAAAATACTGTCACTAATAATGTCGCTATTTGTTCGAATGTTGTCAAAATAACCATTTTATAGTCATGACATTAATGTCGTCACTAAAATTAGTGTCGCTAATAATGATTATTCTTGTAGTGCGGGCTAGTAGGTCGTTGACTGGCCTGCTGGGGGTCACGGGTCGTAGACTTGCTGCGCGTCGGGCGTTGGGCTGGCCTCATGCGTCTGCAGGTCAATGTTAGTTTTATATACTGAAAGCTTGGCTTTGGATGATATTACACTTTTACCCTTTATGAATGAGAATAATGCTAGATTAAACAAGTTCTATGTTCTGTTGTTTTGCACTTAGATAGAATGAGTCTTCATCGGGCGAACAGAAGATCATTCTATCAGTTACTTGCGAAACAAGAATTGTGGTTCACAACCTAGATGGAAATGAACACCCCCATCCGAACGGTTATAGTGTCAACGGTACAATTGGTTTTAATTGATTAGTTGCACTAGTACATTTATGTATTGAACAGAATTCCAGAGAGGAGAAGTTCGTTTTATACTGATCGTCGTAAACGAACTAGGCCTCGGTTAGTTACTGCGTTCTCTTGACCCGTAAGATATTAAACAGACATATATATGCAGTACATATTACTTTGATTCACTTGGGTGAGGTTCAGTTCGCTGGATTAATATATCTACTGTCTTGGGTAATATTGTTGTATGTATGATGTGCTGTTAGGATATTTACGGTCACCATGTGCGTTAGTTTGAAGATGTCCCCGAAGTGAGTTCATGAAGAATTGTTATGCTAAACCCTGCAGGTAGATTAAGTTTTGGCATAATAATAATGTGATGAACGAGCGCTAGTTTCGGTGAAATATATAATATCTTAATTAATTATTGATTGTCAGTAATGAAATTAATTAGTGGACATTATATCTTAAATATGGAGAGGTAAATCGGGTAATTATAATTGGAGAGTCAAATGTAATTTGAACTACGAAAAGGGAGTGCAATAATATTACGTTACTGGACCGTAATATTATTTAAGTAATTAGAAGAGTGGGCCTAACCTACAGTTAGTCCATTACTTACGAAGCCCTATTCCTAATCTCCTAAGGATCCTTACTGTAGCTCTATATATACATCATTAAGCTCATGAGAAGAGATGGGAAATTCACATCTAACGTGAGATAGGCCCCCCTCACCATCTCTCTCTAGATCTCATTCGAGTTTTATATTCTTCTTGTTGCTCCATCGGTACAAGTTGAAGAGGTGTAAGAGTGATACAGTAAAATATCCTGAAGGTAATCGAGACCTCGTGATCATCTACAGAAGTCGATGAATCTCAACTCGAAGGCCGAGATCCACCAACGTGAACTAACCGATCGCGACCAGCTCGTCGTCGCGACGCACAGCGAGCTCCGGCGATCCACACGACCCGATCGTGCGACACGACCGACACCTCCACGCACCACAAGACCTGCTCGATCCCCGCCATCCATTCGTGTGCTGTTCCCGGTCATCCCGATTCCATCAGATTCAAAAACTTTTAAGCCGTAAGTTTTCAACATTAAACCTTTAGATCCGCTGCGCATAGGTTTACGTTTGTTATTGAATTCGTGATTTGTACATAACGAGATCCTCACATATCCCAACAAGTGGTATCAGAGCACTTGATTAATTCGTTTTGTACAAAGTTCGAATTTTTACGGCTTTATTTGACAAGATGTGTTCAAACGCAGCCATATATTGGATTATATTTGCATAACTCGGTTTTGCAGGAAAATAGTTAATCCACTATTATGGCTGATTATGTGTTTGATGAATGTTGTTGAATGTGATGTACGGTTTTAAATTTGTTTTTAAAGCCTCAGACATGTCGAGGAATTGATGGATGAATGTTTGTAATAATTATGAGCCCAGGGGTTGAGCGGATAGAATTCATTATTTGTTTAGAAAACATGTACATCCATTCGTTGGATCTAGGATCGAATTATATAATTGTAAATTGTATTTTTCGTATTGTGATCGTGTGTTGATGACCGAGAGATCACAAAGGATCAACGAACTTCGACCAACTCGATTGGAACTGGGCTCGGGCAACCGCCGGCGAGCCATCACGGCATGGCAGTCGCCGGCCGCGGAGGGCCCGATCGTGTGGCTCGCACGACCCGCACGAAGAAGAAAAAAAAATTCAGCGAGATTTTCCGGCGGCGACCCGATCGTGTGGTCGCTTGGTGGTTTTCTTGTTGGATAAGCAGTACAAGATCTATAAGGATTCTATTGCGATGGGAGTTCTAGTTGGACAAGGAAAGAAACTGATAAGGTTTCCTTGTTTAAGAAGACTCAATAATTAATGGCCATAATAGTGGATTTATTTATTTAAATTTATTATGCGAATTAGTTATTTAGTATTTATGCATATTAATTAATTATTACTTTTGTATGGGATTAATTTAGAATTGCATGAATAATTATGCATGTTAATTAATTATTGCATTTTCATGGATTAATTTAGAATTGCATAAATATTTAAAAATCCTCATTTAAATAATACTAAGTTTGAGAGGGGATTTTAAATTAAAGTTAATTTCAAAATTTCTAAGGCCTTCATTTCTAATTTGTCGGTGAATTAATTAATTGAAGTATGAGCTCACCCTCGGGTGACATCACTAACATTATTTGTATGTAATTACCAGGACGAATTTCTAATTAGAAGGATTATAGGAAGTCTTATTAGAGCATACAGACCTCCCCTCGGGGGACATATAGTCAAATTTGATGACCTTAGGATCGAGAAATGAGATTCACTTAGAATGCGATTTAATTTATTAACCGCCCTCGGGATCCCTGAATTTTATTGCATGGCCAAACGGAGACCGACTATTATTTTCGTTTGTCATTAATTTGGTTTTGACTTATGAAAATTAATGGGTTCTTGAAAAGCCCTTCTCTGGCGAAAGTTGAGTATGTAGGGTTACCCCCGTAGCATGCATTACTCACGGTGTTTTGAGATGTCGGTGAATTTAAGTTAATGTTGCTTAAGGATATCATTGTTAAAAGTTAAATTTAAAAGTGTTTAATTTGTAAAATTCATATTCATCATGTCGTTCAATCCGTTGTCTGTCATTCTAATAGAAAATCAACTTGCTAATCCCAAAACATTTGATTGGAAGAGGAACTTAGACATTGTCATGTCGATCACCATGGCTAAGGGCACTCCCGTAAGGGAACATGTCCAGAAGCTAATGGAGCAGTTCACTCGCATGGAGTCTGAGGGTGCACACATTGAAAAATGTATCAAGGCTGACATAATACTCTTTTCACTGCATAAGGACCTCAACCAGTTATGCTATAGTTACAGCCCTATTCTTCGAAATATGTCAGTAACTGAGCTGATTGGGGAACTTGAGGCTGCTGAGAAGATTATCCATGAGGAGGGACAAATGATTCTTGCAGAACGAGAGATGGCCTCGTCCTCTAATCCGTAGGGATAAAGAGGAAAAGGAGCTCTGTTCAGGAAGCAGTTGAGTCGTCTAGAGTTGCGAGATCGGGACAGAAGGTCAACTGCCCTCTCCTCAAGAAAGGTAACTCTCTTATTAATGTCGTAGGAACATGTTTAGTGGTTGTATCTGTAACAATAAATTTTATTTTGGGTCCCACT